TCAAATCTAAAAGTTCAACAAAATTCAACTTATTTGCAATTCTTTTAGAACTTGCTCAACCTGCAGTTTTGTGTCCGTTGGATCAACTACACTGTGCCCTATTGTTCTGGGATCCGCGAATATGGCATGATCATTTCCTCCCTATAACAAGCAATAAGACAAAAACTATTTTCTTTAATAAAAGCGACTGAGTATTCAAATCAGAAAAAAGTGAAGTGTGCGCCTACTAACTAGCCCCATCTTTTTTCAGACTTGGTATGCAGCAAATATGTTCAAACAAAACAAAGTGTATACGGATTACTAAACAAATTTGTTCATATTGAAGGGTGTATCTAGTGCGAAAGCCAAATTAACAAAGATTGTATCTTTAAAAGAAATCGTCAATGATAAACATACCGGCATCGTTTTGTCGCCAAAGAAATGAATAACATCATAGTCGTTCTCTACGTACTGTAGACAATATGTCTTATCCCAGCCTTTAGGAAACACATCTACACTTATTTGACCACCTGAATTATAAATTTCTACATATACGACTGATTCTTGTATAAATGAGACAAAGCAAGATTTTACCTATCACAAAGCAAAGACCGTAATCCGAGAAATTTTTGTGCAGTGCTTCAACAAACTTCTCTCGGATTTTGTGCTCGTTATCGTAGATGACAAATTGATCACGTTCAGCTTGAGAACAGCTACGACCAATAGGAGACAAATTAAGCATACCCTTAGTATAGAGTAATTACTGAGATGTGCTTCACTACAAGTTCTTCTATAGTGTTTTAGAACCTGGAAAACTACCTTTCTGAACTCCACAAAATTCCCCCGCTTCACGGGTAAAGTGATCTCCGAGAAGTATCTCAACGTAAAGTTAATCAGTTTTTGTAGCTTCTCTTCACCAATGTAATCTTGGATAGCCTAAATAATGAGGATTGTCCGGAATTGAAAATTAGGCGAAGAAACCACTTGCCTTACTAGGATACTGCTCATTCCCTTTGAATCCTACCAATCCGTTCTCCGAAAAAACATAATCGTATTGCGACAGCACTAAAAAATGACTTCAGTTGTGTCGCGGTGTGA